AGCTCAGTTGCTGTTACCATGAGCCATACATTGACCTTCTCAGCAATACCAGGAGTAAGAAACCCAGAATGGTGGGGGTTGGAAAGGACCTCTGGAGATCATCTAGTCCAACCCCTGCCAGAGCAGGATGCCCTAAAGCAGCTCCCACAGGAACACATCCAGGCAGGTTTGGAATGTCTCCAGGGATGGAGACTCCACCACCTGCCTGAGCAGCCTGTCCGAGGGCTCTGCCACCCTCAGAGTAAAGAAGTATCTTCTTACATTTGGATTAAACCTCACATGTACCAGTTTGTGACCACTGCCCCATGTCCTGTCACTGGTTACCACTGAGAAGAGTTAGGCCATCATCATGGTTTCTGGAAGAGGAAGAGGAGCAGATGAGCGTTGCTGACCTGCCAGGACAGTTGTTGAAGGCAGGAGCTGCCAATCTAAAGAGACCTTTGTCTTTCACCTTACAGTTTTATTCACGTTCAGCAACAGTCCTCCCCTTTTTCCTTGCTTCCAATTGGCCTTCCAGATGCTATTTTTGCTCAAGTCTTCATGACAACTCTACTCAGGACTGTAAAAAGGTCCCAAGTTCTTTACACCAGAGATTTGGCTCCTGGTGTGACCTCAGTATGTTTGGCTCTCAGTATGATCTTGAGGCTGTTTTTAAGTTATTTTGATACAAAATGTCAGGTTCCTGCTCCACAGAAGACTCTAGAGCTCTTCTAGACCAACAGCCACCTTTCTAGAATGGAAAGGAGAAGACCACTGACACGAAGGGATGGCAACACCTTCGAGTCCAAACTGAGTGGTGGGGTAGAAAAACACCAATATATAGAGACACAGGTCATACCACTACATACTCTTCAAGATCTCCAGTAAAAGACGTCATGATGTAAGAGTAGCTCATGCATTTCCTTCCTTAATCAAGCACTAAATCCAGAACTTCTGTGATTATATGATGAATTATGCAGTAATAATATGACCCTTCAATAAAAATGGAAATTCAGTGGGCAGTCTGTAAACTTGTAATTTTTCCTAAAAAAACAACCTGTAAATATCTGCAGAGGCAGCAGCATCCTTGGAAAACAATGAGTCATCTGTCTTGGGTTTTTTTTTCTCTCCTTGACATACTGAGCACAAAAAGGAGCTAACACAGATAGTAGCTGCTAGCATGTTTGTCTTACACTGATTTCTTCATGTCTGAGAAGAAAAGAAATACTTTAACAAAACAGATAAATATTTGTCCTGGTTCCTGGTTTGTTGCTTTTGTGGGTTTCTTTCCTTAGATGAAATGCTCTCATTTCCAGTCACTTATTCACTGTGTCTTGGCTTCTAATGTTGTGCTTCTCTTGATTAAAATTTATTAAATCCACATTTTGCCATTAAGACATTCCCATACCACATGGAACCCTTTCAGATGACTCCCAGGGGGACAAACACCACATAAAGAGAACAGAGAAAGTAAATATCGTTTAGTCAAATGTGTATGTCTTACTAGGATGGAGTCCACCAGCATCACTCATTCTGGGCAGCATGCTGACTTCAACCCAGGAAAGTTGGGGAGGGATTTGGGACAAAGGCAGGGAGTGAGAGGACAAGGGGGAATGGATTAAAACTGTAAGAAGGGAGATTTAAGTCACACATTAGGAAGAAATTCTTTTTTGTGAGGGTGGTGAGACCCTGGAACAGGTTGCCCAGGGAAGCTGTTGAAAGGCAGGTTGGATGGGGCTTGGAGCAACCTGATCTGGTGGGAGGTGTCCCTGCCCATGCAGGGGGTTGGAACTAGATGATATTTAAGGTCCCTTCCAACCCAAACCATTCCATGATTCTTTGAAAAGGCCTCATTCACCTGAAGCAGCATTAAGCTCACTGCAGAATCAAAGTCCTGCAGTACAGCATGGCTTTTCACCCTCTTGTTTCAGCTTTGTTTCTCTGTGCATGTGCAGAATAGAGTATAAGAAAGGGGATCAAGTATGAAAAGTTCACTCTGGGAATGAGAGCTGAAGGCAGCTCAAGGGTATAAAAGAGAAGCTGTATCCTTAGTGCTCCAACAGCTCAGTTCTGTGCCAACCCGTCTGATGGAGCTCAGGACCGTGCAGGGAAGGGAGAGAGCCCGGGAGGTCCCTCTGGAACAGGAGTTCCTCCCTGGACACAGGACAGTGGTCCTGTCATAGAATCACAGAAGTACCTTGACTGGAAAAGATTTTCAAGATCATCAAGTACAACTGTTAACCCAACACTGAAAGTCCTTAACTAAACCATATCCCCAAGTACTTACATGACTCTTGAATCCCTCCAGGGATGGGGACTCCACCACTGCCCTGGGTCAAGGCTTGGGTCAGGGCCTGACAACCCTTTGGGGGAAGAAATTGTTCCCAATATCCTATCTAAATCTCCACTGACACAATTTGAGGCCATTACCTCTTGTCCTGTTACATGTAACTTCCCGGAACAGACTGACCCCTCCTGGCTCCAACCTCCTCTCAGGCAGCTGCAGAGCCAGCAGGTCTCCCCTCAGCTCCTTGTCTCCAGGCTGGACACCCCCAGCTCCCTCAGCTGCTCCTGCTCACACTTGTGCTCCAGCCCCTTCCCCAGCTCCCTTGTCCTTCCCTGGACACGCTCCAGCCCCTCCACGTCCTTCTTGTCATGAGGAGCCCAGAACTGTCCCCACACCTCAGCCAGCTCCCCACAGGCTGCACCTCTGGCCCAGACATACCTTCTGCTCTTGCCTCAACATCATGGATGTTTACCAAGGCAATGAGCTTAATCTCTCTTTCCTATCTGGAGGCTTCTATACCTTTCCTTGATTGTAAACAACATATTTAGGCTTGAAGTGCAGTATATGCACAGCTATCATCTTCTCACAAATGAATTTTTTTCTATCTGATCCATTTCAAACACTGCAGGCATTTGTAACACACAATCACCCCATATCACGTTGGTATTGAATCTTGAGCCTCACTGTGGTCAAATATTTAAAATTAAACTAATAAATTAATGTAGACTTTATCTCACTGCCACTCTATCATCTGCAGTAAAACTGTGCAGGCAGAATCCCTCCAGAAACACAGAAAAGAACAGATGTTAAATGGGGTTGACAGCAATGGTCATTCACAGGCAGCAAGTCTCCACTCATGTATTACACAGCCTGTGGATAACTGGGAAATTGTTCCCTTCACAACTGTCAATTCCTCACCTGACATTTGCTACAGAAGAGTGAAAGAGACCGGTTCCAGCTGACAACAAACTGGACTGAAATTGTACCAGGTATGAAGACTTAGAATCTGCTCTGCTTCAGAGAAGGCTGGGACACGTGCACCTGATTAAAATAAGGATCGTCAGTTGTTTTGAGAGGGATCAAATCTCTTACCTGAAAACAACAAAGATCAGCTTTCACCACCTATTTGCTAAATAGGTGGGATGGGAAATTACTTCCCCTGGTAATGAGCATTCCTGGGAGAAGAGTAAATGCACAGCACAACACAAAAGACAATTTGAAATAAAAGCACACAGGGCAGTTTTAAGTGTCATCATTTGTTAATGCTGGCATATGTGACTAATCACAGTCCATTTAGGGTTGATGTTAAGTTTGCCATTTTTTCAAGGATTGAGTAATGTTAAATATCACTGTGGGCAGGTGTGATGGTTATTTAAAATAAAATAGATACAAGATATGAAGGGCCACATCTACAGTTGGTGTAACAAGTCAGTACTGACCATTTCAGGCCAGTGGAATGATTCCAAACTGAATCATCTAGGTATCTGTCTCACTGTATCCAAATTAACCCTTACATGCTGCTAAAAAAACTCCACAAAGCCCAATAAAAAATGTGCAACCAAAAATCATGTTTGCACCTGTTTCAATAAGTATGTGCACAAATTAATCTCAGGCTCTGGGATGTACAAATTCTACAGCCAAGGTTAGGATGTGGTTTGCCCTTCAAAAATTAAACAGATGCCTTTGGTTTGTTTTTCCTGCTTTTTTTTTTTTATCCCAGTTAAAAGCACTGATCAGTACCAGAGCCAATGAACCAGAAAAGATGGACATATCATCAAACCTGGTACTTCACAGACTACCTCTGACCTCCCTGACAAACTACGCCCAGCAATTCAGACTGCAGGATATCCCCTCTGTGCCTGTCCCTGCTGTCTTCTGAAATACACTGGAGGAAGGTTACCAGAAACAAGAAGTCATCATTTCTCTGGAACACCAAACATGTCAAGTTCTTGCTGTTCATTTTCCTTGTTCAGAGGACAGAAAAAATTGCCACCACAACAGGTCACTACCTTCTTGGAACACCACACATGTGAAAGGGAGACCTAAAGAGCATGCCATCCACTTAGGATCATAGAATGTATTTGGTTGGGAGTGACCTCTAAAGGCCATCTAGTCCAACCCCTGTAGAATAACCAGGGACATCTCCAATTACATCAGTTGCTCCACTTGCTGGTGGGTGCTTAGGAGCTGGCTCAAAACAAGACATTGGCAGGTTACAGCCACTGGGGATAAGATGCCAGGTTCTTTTCTCTTTTCCAGCTGCCAGTGTTAAGCAGATCCATAAAATCCAAGGCAATCCACCACACAGTTCAAAACCAGCAAATCAATGAGTTTGTGATCTCATCTCAACCTCATTCTGTACTTCCAACCCAGCTACCCATGCCTGGCCAGGATCCCACTCTGCCACACCTCAGGGGGCTCCTGAGGGTCCACACCTACAGTCTGTCCCACCTACCCTTGGCAGGTTTCTGATACATCAAAGCCATTACACGTGTACACAGTTCCTTCAGGTTAAAGAGGAGGGGCTGTGTGCTTGAAGTTAGTCCTTGCATAAACTATTTCCTCATGTTCTCATCAAGGTTCTTGGCAATCTGGATTATGCTGCTGTATCTGTTTGTCTATCGTGGGGACCTGACAGGCATCCTCAGGTAGGATATGACTAGAATATAAATATTTAACACAACTTTACATTTTCATTTCATCATCCATCTTCATAACCATTCCCTAAGCTGCACTAATTCACATCCTCCTCCATGAGGCAGGTTCTTATCAAAAAGCCCTCTGAAGTACAGGGAAGATCAACCACAAAAGGAACCAGCACCAGAGCAGGAACTAGGGGGAAAAAAAACAACAAACACCTTTCAAAAAGCATTTCAGCACCTGCATTTCAGGAGGCTTGTCCTGAAACATGACATCTGATCAGCTGCAAACCTGGGAAGCAAAGGATGCAGCTCTTTTCACACGGTGCAGATGGCACCACTACTTTAATTACTCTTCAGTATCACGTGTTGAATAGAACATTTAAAAAAATATATAAATGGACTGTTGTCTTTGCCTTCCTATGAATGTTCCCACGTTGAATTTCAAGTGAGGGAACACGGGAGGAGGGGGGAAGGAAACCCCCAGGAAACAGAGATCTTTCTGTAGCACTCCATAGGAATTATTTCACCCCCCAAAAGAGGAAAGTTGACAGAATAAACATAGGATGAAGATCATGGGCAATATTGAAAAGCACCGGCTACATTTCCTAGTGACGGGAGCATAGGAGAGGGGTTGCCTGGTAACACAGCCTGCCGGCTCCAGCCACGCTCCTCGGAAATCAGCCATAAAAGGAACTCCCATGCCACTGCAGCGTTGCTACAGCAACGCACCGAACCGATGGATCCCAAGTTAGAGACACACCTTAAGCAAGAATATGTTTCCTCTCATTTTAAACACTTTCCAACCCATAAATACACGGAGTCTGCAATTCTAAATAGCTCCCAGCAAGGCTAACTTCCAGGGGGTTTTGTTCGTGCTTGTATGATTTGAGACGTTGCACACGTAGTGAAGCAACTAGCAAGGAAAAAAAACACCCAAACTGTAATGTCTGCGGCACTGGGTTGCAGGCAGCTCACCAAGCACGAAGGTAGAAGGCACAGCAGAGTGTAACTGCACTACAGAGCAGGAAGAGGAGGGTGCTGGGGCTGGGAGAGCTGCGGGGAGGCTGGGGGGGACACAGCAGGTCCCAATGGGGCTGCAAGCCCAGGACAGACAGGATCAGCTGCGATGCTGCAGGCTCAGCTGGGCTGGGGCAGACAGCCAGGGCTGGCATCCCTCCGGGCCG